GGTCTATGTCAATTGCTAAGGTAAAGACACCTCTAGGTTTACTATCCTGTAGTAGGGCTAGAATCTAGCACCTTCTGCCCTACTATCTGCCCAACCCAATGCTCCCTAGTTCTACTTTCCTGAACTTGGTGAACAATTCCCATTTTATCCCACACATTCTCTTCATGACTGAAAAACCTTCAATCACATCCCTTTCTCAGTCTTCCTCTTTTAAGAAGTCCTTTCATTTATCTCCTACAGATGCTCTTCTACTCTCATAATCATTTTAGCTGCTTTTCCTGTATCTTTTTCAAACTATGTCATAGCTTTGATTCAGGTACAGCAACCAAGACTTGTGCCCAATATTAACATAAGATTCAATCTCTAATGTAAGATAATGCTACTTTGTTTAAAAACCCTTTCCTGGGAACACACAGCATTTTGCTAGCCTTCCTGACTCCATTGGACTGTAGTCACAGAGGAAAAATCAATGATGACTTAAAAAATACCCTCTGTAGAGCATAACAAACAGCAGTAGCGTTTGAGGTTCTCTCCTCCCAACCCCACAAAGCTTAGTCACCATTTCTCACAGCCCTGGGAGATTTTCCTATAATTTATCCCAATCACTTTCTCTAAAGGATCCTGCCCTAAGGACAGAATATACTGAGGTCAGCTTCATGTACTCTTAGAAACAACCCAAAGGATTCCTACCTTTGGCTTCTAGGTTTTCTCCTTTAACTATTTCCCACATTTCTCTGATCTCTAATCCTGGGTTAAGATACCAAATCCTTGACCTCAGGCCCTAGCCTGCTTTTGCCTTTCTTTGTATTCCTAGCACTCTGAATAGTGCCTGACACACAGTAAGTGCCTAATAAATGCTTGCTGACTAACTGGCTCCTTGACTTGAGATCTGCTATACGATATCTGTGCTTTTTCTGCCAGTGTTCCCTTCTTAAGCACTTTGAAAGCAGAAAATATTTTCATTTTTTTCCTTTGTATTCACAGCATTCAGCAAAAGGCCTGGCACATAGCAGGTGTTTAATCAATGCTTGATGAATTAAGCTGACTTGGTGCTGGATTCTAGCACTATTCTCTCCCTTCTTACTCTTAGCCATAGCACATGTCAGACCATAAGAATGACTATAGGACTGGGGAACAATATTTTGTCATGGGTCAAGAATTAGCAGGTCTTTTTCTAGGTGAAGAAGTACAGATGGTGGGGTTACCCAGATACCTCTTAGTATTTCTACAAATGACCTGAAAGGAAGACAAGTAAAATCTCAAAACACAGAGAGGGTGCTAAATGCTTTCAAAGCATCTGGATCCAACAATGGTCCCTTCCACACAAGCAAAAGGCAGCACCTTCCTCCTGACTTCCTTTCCTCCTACGGGAAAGGAAGAAGCATTTATATGGTGCCTACTATGTGCCAGACACTACGCCCTGTGCCCAAAAGGGTCAGGTTTACCGAGTGTCCTAAAGGAATGTGAAGGAAGAAGGCCCAGTAGAATAGAAAGAGTGGAGGCCAGGAGGCTGTCTGATGTCTCCTCTCACCCCCATGACAGTAAGCATTTATGGCCACGGCCTGCCCCTAACCCCAGGTAAGGTCAAAATCTAAGGACAGGGGCAGCTAAGTGGAGCAGCAGATAGTACACCAGCCCTGAAGTCTGGAGACCTGAGCTCAAATCCCACCTCAGACAAAACACTTGTCACTTACTAGCTGTGTGACCTTGGGTAAGTCACTTAACCCCAGCTGCCTTTTAAAAAAAAAAAAAAACCTAAGGACACCAACACAAAGCCGGCTGGACTGGACCAAGCCCAGGGTTATTCTGCAGGGAGAAAAGGGAGTATCACCAGCAGAAAGGCTGGTCCTAAGCGGCCCCACCCCTCCTCTAAGGTCTAAGACTCAGGATCTGAGTTGGAAACAGTCATATTAGTCATCTAATCCAGGGGTGGGGAACCCAAGGCCTCCAGGCCACAAATTCCCCACCCCTGATCTAGTCCAATCCTACCCAGAGCAGGAATCTCTTCTATATACTTCTCACCAAGGAGGGGTCGTCCAATCTCCAGGTGAATACTTCCAACCATGGGGAGCTCACTACCACACTAGGCATCCCATTCCTCTTGGACAGGGCTCTTGCGATCTCTCTCTCCTCAAGACAACCCCCTCAAGATAGTTAAGGACGATCCTCCAGACTTTTGGCTTAAATAGGCCCCTTTGCCAATTCTTCCCCCCACCCCAGCTCCCGCCCGGAACTTCCCACTGCTCCTGACTCTAGTCTTGGTCAATAAGCATTTATTAAGCGCCTACTGTGTGGCTCCAGGGGCTGTGCTGAGGGGGTGCTTTGGCCCCACCTCAGAGTGACAAGGGCAGCCCTGGTCCCGGCCCTCAGCCTTCTCTTTTCCTGGATCAACATCCCCAGTTCCTCCGAGGCCCCTTAAAAGGCGCGGCCTCTGGGCGTCACCGGGGGGCGGGGCCTTGAACTCTCTGGGTCACAGGGCTGGCACGAGCAACACGCGGATAAACTGAGGCCTGCGGCTCGAGGAGCGTCCGAGCTTTGCCCCGCCCCCCGCGGTTGCCATGGTAACCGGGGCAGGGTCGAGCAAAGGTGACAGAGTAAGGGGGAGGGGAGGAGCCACGCAGCAGCGGCTGAAGTCGTGGCTCCCTCATTTCCCCACCACACACACATACAACACTCCCCGCAACCCCCTGGTTGCCATGGTAACCAAGCCGGGCAAAGGGGCAAAGGTCATGAAGCGGGGTCGGGGAGAGGCCGTGCGGCTGCCACTGGAGCCGGGGCTCCCTCATTCCCCGACACACGTACACACTCCCCGCGCCCCAGGAAGCCCCGCGCTCACCTGTGCCTCTAGGCCCCGCTCCGAGCCCCGCTCTGCACCCCCTCCACCCGCCAGCAGGCCTTGCGCAAGCTTCCCCACCCCCACTCCGCTCCCAGCGGCCCGCGAGGCCGGACCCACCCGCCGAGAACGGATTGGTCGAGTTCCGGGAAGCTGCTGGGAGAGAGAGAGCGGGGCGCCTGCGCCTGCGCCTGCGTCGGGACTGCCAAGCGCCTCTCTGAGGGAAGGCGACAGCGCCACCTGACGGTGTGGCGTGAAGGGTGCCTTCGGAGGCCCGGGGATTTATGAATGGGTGGGCACGTGGTACAGCCCTCCAGGCAACTGGGCACCTTGAGCCTGAGAGCCCTGGGCTGAGTGGGATTTCCCCGGGGGAGGGGAATGTCTGGCGCCTACCTAGTAAGTGCTTAATAAATGCTTGCTGCTGGCCTGTCTACTAGCAGGACATAGAGCCCTCTCTGACATCCATACGTACTGAATCAGGGCTACCTGGGGCTGCCAAAGGTAGCCGTTGCCAAAGGTCATCAGAGCCAACCTGCCAGGCTGTCTAAGCCTGCCTGAGGCAAGGTGGGGGGTAGCTGTTTTTCTGGGATCCCCTGCCCCACAAGAAAAGCTCCAAACCCAGAACCACCTGCCTGGGCGGGAGAATCTAGATCCGAGCACAAAAAAAAAAAAACCCCTAAGTAGCCAGATGTGCCCTGGAAAGTCGGTCTTCCCTAGGAACTTCCCACCTTGTGGAGAGCCCGGAATAAGAAGAAACAGGCCAGGGAAATGGGCATCTGTCACCTGAATAGAGCCACAGACACAAAGGGGACCCCCTGGATAACCCCAGCCCTCAGGCCAAGACTCTGACAACCTGCGGCTGGCAGCCAATCTGTACCCCGCCCCTCCCCTGACAACCAGGGTCTATCAGAGGTCTATACTGATCAGCTGCACCAACCTGACTTCCTAAGGGTTCTTTGGTTTCTATCCTTATTCTACTGTCCCTGTTCCTCAGAACTCCCCACACCAACCCAAGAACTTGCCTACCTGTCACAAGCACAGACATATACACAGTGACCCAGTTTTCTCCCCATCCTTGCCTCTACCTCCCAACTTTACCCCTTCGATCTCCCTGCTCTGTCTCCTTATTAGCTAAGTTACATAGAATCTAATGGATCACGAGTTTCCAGAGGGCAAGGGCCTAAATTTTTTCCATCTCTTTCTAGTCCCATCCCCCAAAGGTAGTTGTGCACTCAGGAGGCTTCGGGAAAGGGTTTAGGGAATATGAGAAATGTATTGAATTGAAACCTTGTTCTCTTTAAATTCCTTCTTCTTCCTGATCTTGTTAGGTTTGGTTCTTCTTAACAAAGAATCTATGAATGTTGGAGATGGAAGGGAGCTCAGAGAACATCCAGGCAAATCCTCTCATCATACAGATATGGAAAGCAAGACTCCTAGAGGATAAGAGACTTGCCCAAGGTCACACAGCAAGGGAATATTAGCCAAGACTCAAATCCAGGTCTCCTGGACTCCTGAGCTAGAGCTCACTCCACTGCACAAGCTGCCCCTGGCTTTGCCTGCTCTGACATGAGCAGATAAAGGGTTTCACTCTCCCTGATAGAAGGAATTGGGTGGTAGCAGCAAGTTGGCAAGGCCAGAGCCTCAGGCAGAGAGAGAGGGAAGTCGATTGAGTGTCAGGCTGACTGAGGAGGTGAACCCCTTCAGAGGGGTTCTGGGCTCACTATGACAGCAGAAGGCAGCATCCTTGTGGAAGTATGGAAGCTGTAGGCCTTGAAAGGGAAGGGGTGATTTTTTTGGCAAAGGAACTTCTTGACTAGGGGTCTCAGGAACCATCCTGGGGCTTAGAATGAGCAGGGGATCTAGGCTTTAGCCTGGAGCAGGGATAGCCCTATCCAGAGATCACTGGACTGGAAGAGGAAGGGGAGAAAGGACATAGGTGAGTTCCCATCAAGAGAAATCTCTGGTGCTCAAGCCCTTGTTACATCTCTTACAAACACACACACACACACACACACACACACACAGGCTCACAGAGCAGATGCCCTCTTCCTAGATGTCCCAGGGCCCTGGGAGATGGCTGCAGGTTCCTCACTGAGGGAGAGGGAGGGCAAGAAGGGGTCCCTGCTGAAAGAGAGAGCATAAGAGCATGGCTCCTGCGCTGGGCGATGCCTCCACCGCCGCTTTATTCCTCCTGGTATAGTCAAGGTGGGTCCAGGGAATGGGAGTTGGGGGGGAGGGGAAGCCTCCCACCTCTCCCAGCACCCTCCCTTCCCTGCAGCAGGTGGAGAATGGGGCATGGCATCTCCTGGGTTGGTCCAGCCACTGTGGTCCCCAGCAGGCCTGGCAAGGGAGGGTGGGGATCACTATCCCCAGCCCGTTAGGATGGATGGCTGGGTTTGGGGATTCCCCTCTGCTGGGGGGAGGTTCAGAAATCTTCATAAAAAGGGGGTGTTAAAAGCCAGAAAGCTCAGTCCCCACGAAGCCCAGCCCCGCGGGGAGGGGAGGGACATGGAGCCTGAAGGGCGGGGGGCCTGGCCTGGCCCCGCCCAGCAGGGAAGGAGATAGGATGGCAGAGATAGTGCCTGAGGCAGCCAGTGGAGGAGAAAGCAGAGAAGGGGACCCTGGCCCAGAGGGGAAAGGAAGCAAAGGGGTAGTTCTAGGTGAGGAGGTGTGTGTTTAGAGGGGAGGACTCCCTTCCTCCCCCAAAGGAGTCTTAGCTTGGGACCCAGAAGGTAAAAAAACCAAACCCAGAAACTGTGATAGGGCCAGACCAGGCCAGGGTCTGGGAAGGCAAGGGTCCGTGGGGCTTCCTGGGGGGACACAGAGGGCTGGGCCCACCTCTGCCCTGGGGGGGCCCCGGTATCACAGTGACCTCTACGCTGTGTATGTACAGTACAGATAGAAAACAAGGGGCCGCAGGTGGCAGGCGGGCAGGGCCTTGGGCAGGGTCTGGCAGGTCACAGTCTGGTCTGGGCCTCGGGGATATAGATCTCTATGCTGTCCGCACTTTCTGTGGCTGAGCTGTGGCGGAAAGAGGCTGCCCGCTTGGCTGCTAGAAGCCTCTTCCGAGCTTCCTGCCGCTGCCGGTCCACAGAGTCCAGGGAACGATCCTTCACTGGGACCCCCCGCCCCCGAGAGGGCTTCTTTGGTATCGGGGGAGGGACCTTCTTCTCCTCCTGTGAAGGGAGAGAGAACAACATGATTTGAGACGCAGGGATTGGGATTGGGGGAGGTTCCTGAGGGGTACCGATGAAGGAAACTCAAGGGGTAGGAGCATAGAAAGAGCAGGGAGACCTGAAAGGCAGGGATGGTGGAGATCTGAGGGACAGGGATGACAGAGAGTAAGAAGGTAAGGAGAGAGGAAGGAGAGCAAGACCCAAGGGACAGGAATGGAAAGAAAGCAAGAAGACCCAAGGGGCAAAGATGAAGAAAGAGCTTAAAGACCCCAGGAAAGGGAGAAAGTGAGGAGGAAAATATGAGAGCCAGGATTGAAGGGGAGAGTAGTAAGAATGAAGAGAGAGTGGATAGTCCCACTGAGGGGCAAAGATACCAAAAGATTAGGGAGACCTGAGATATAGGGATGGTACAGAACTGAGAATCAGACACCAGAAACTAGGAGCAGGGATGGGGAAAGAACATACACACATAGAGCAGTGGCGAGAGAGAGAGAGAAAGATGGAGAGAGAGACAGAGATACAGAGAGAGAGAAACTGAAAGAGAAAAGGGCAGGGAGAGAGAACTGAGAGGGAAAATTGGAAGACCTGAGGGACAGGGATGAGGGTAAACAGCAGGAAAACTTAATGGGAACAGATGAGAAACCTGCAAGACAGGAAAGCAGAAATCAGAAAGATAGGGATGGGACATATCTGAGGGGCAAGGACAGCAAAAATTCAGGGAACCAGGATGCAGAAAAGAGACCATATAAAATTGTTTTTACATGTAACTGGGGAAAAATAAAATACTAAAAAAAAAAAAGGAGACACAGAGAGAGAGGGAGGGGGAGAGAGAGAGAGAGAGAGAGAGAGAGAGAGAGAGAGAGAGAGAGAGAGAGAGAGAGAGAACATAGAGACACCTGGGTGGCAGATAGGATGAGAGCAGGGAGACCTAAGAGTCAGGGATGGGAGAAAAGGATAAGCTGAGGAGCACAGATCAGAGGGAGAAAACCCAAGACATAAGGAAATGGTGTGTTTGTGTGTTGGGGGCAAACAGGAAGATCAGGAACGGTAGAATCCAAGGGGTATGGACATTGCAGACAGAAATAAAGAAAGGGAAGTAGCAAAAAACACAGAACCCAGCACAGAAAAATATAAGACAGATGAAAATAGGAGCTATAATGACAGACATACTGACCACAATCCTCTCAGAACCATAACAATCCCAAGAATGAGGCAAGCTCTGGATGGAGGTGGGGATCACCTATCCCCACTTCACTACCAAAGAAATCTCTTCCTCTGCCATGTCCAGAGTGTGACCCAGGGTGAAGACTTGGCCCTAGAGAAATGACCTTGAGACACCCCAAGGTGAGTGGCTGTCAGTGGGAATGACTGACCCTAAGACATGAAGAGTCCCCCTAAAACCTCCTAGACCAGAAAGTCATTGTTAGATACCTCTGAGTTCTAGGAAGGGAGAACCTACCTTCCCATAACTTCTACTAACTTGCCTTTGGAGCTATGTAAAATAAGTCTTATCCCTTCATCCTTCCTTCTCCTCTCCCACCTCAGTGCCTTCCCTCTATGATTGCCATATATAAATATATATGCATGTATGTATATATGTACGTATACGTATATATGCATATGTATGTATATATGTATACACATATATATGTAAGTAGCAGAGCCAGGTATTCAAATCCAGACCTTCTGGACTTCAAATCTAATAGTCTTTAAACTACACCATGTATAGATATCAAGCTGATCAAAATCAGGATGACATTTTCAGGATGGGAAGGGGGAATCACTTTAGGCTGAAATCATGGATCAAACTCTAATAAGAGGACATTTGTGGCTTCACTTCAATAGTCAAAGACCTATCATTTTATCAGCATGTGTCCACCCTCTCCTCCACCTATAAACACAGATCTTTACCATTCTACATCTTGATAGACAGTTTTCTGGGTTGGTCCTCCCTGGGCCTATACCCTAAGCCTTTCTGCCTTGGTAGGACCTACCAGAACCTTCAAGAGCATAGGGTCACCTCACCCACCAAAATAGGGCATAGGAGGACTTGGATTTAATAGCGATACATGTAAACTCCTGCATTTAGCTTTGAAAAAAATAACTATGCCAGCAGAGAGTGGGACTGATGGGACTGGATAATAGTTCATGTGAAAAAGATCTCAAGCTCTTGCTAGACCTCAAGCTAAATGCGACTCTGCTGAATGATGAAGGAGTTAAAGGAGCTCTATTACCACAAGTAATGTCCAAAAGGAAGGAAATGTTTAACTTAAAGACAAAATGACAGGAGGAGGGAGGATGAGGTGGAGGGAAGTTACCAGAAAAGCAGACGCCATGTTTTTATTATCTTGTCCTGTACCTCTGGGTTGTCCCAGGGTCAGGACCTGAAGGACAGAAAACTCAACTACCCTTCATATGATGGTCAGCCTCCAGGTGTGTGAGGGGAGAGATGGTACCTGAAACCATGGCTAAAAACATCCAGGGAAGAACCAGTGTACTGAGGGGACATGGGAAGGAAGCCTACCTATAGCAGAGAAACTAATCAGAAGGAAACAAAGTAAGAAAAGGCCTTGGACTAAATTGGGTTCAGATGGGGTGCATTAAGGTCAAGAACAGTGATATGCATTCTAAGCAAAGAGCACTGGTCTTAGAGCCAAAAGAACTGGTTTCAGGTCCTGGATCTAACACTTACTTAGCAGTATGACATTGAACAAGTCACCTCTCTGAATTTTGTTTTCCTCATCTATAAATGCGAGTTGGGTGGTGTAATACCAAGATGACCCACCTCAAAGGGTGATGGTGATTGGAAATTTTCTATAGCTGTAAAGGGTTATCACTACTATCACCTGCATGAGCCTAGGTGGACATATCCTTTTGAACTAGTGACTACAACCTTTCCATTGGGCTCCATGAACAACAGCTCCTATTGCAGATGGTCAGTTATCTTTTCTATCTCCTCAAAACCTAGCACAGTACTTGGTATATAGTGGGTGAAATGGTTATTGAATAAATGAATTATATGATCATTGTTCTCAAATATCTGCAGGCTGTCACAGAAATTGATTAGTTTTGTTCTGCCTGTGTCCAGAGTTGAGAAATAGGAGCAAGGGTACTTTCCCTTGTTCAAATTCTATCTTTTCCACTTACTAACCATGTAACAACGGGTAAGTAATTTATTCTCCCCAGGCCTCAATTTCTCTATCTGTAAAATGAAGGAGGATTGTGACTAGACATCTAAGGTCCCTTCCAGTTCTAAATCTGTGCATTTCAGTTACAGACAGATTTCAACTCAAGATAAGAAGGAATTCCCTTATAATGAAAGTTATAATAATTGTTATTGTTGTTTAGTTGTTTTCAATCGTGTCCAACTCTTCATAACCCCATTTGGAGTTTTCTTGGCAAAAATATTGGAGTGGCTTGCCATTTCCTTCTCCAGTTCATTTTACAGTTGAGAAAACTGAGCAAACAGGGTTAAGAGATTTGCACAGGATCATACAGCTAGTAAGTATCTGAAGCTGGATTTGAATTCATGAAGATGAGTCTTCCTGACTCCAGGCCTGGCACTCTATCCACCTAGCTGCCCATATAATAATAACAATAGGTAGCATTTCTATGATACTGTAAGGTTTACAAAAAGTATTGTCTTAGTTGGTCCTCAAAACAACACTATAGAGTAGATGTTATTATCATCATCACCATTTTCCAGGTGAATAAACTGATCCTGAGGGAGGTTATGTGACTTGTCCAGAGATATGCAGTTAGTAAGTACCTGAGGCAGCACAGATATATCAATCTACTATCTATATACTCTATCTAGTGTGCCACATAGCTGCCCATTGTTGTTATCCAACAAAGGAATAGGCTGGCTCAAGGAAAGATCTTTGAAATTAGGGAGTTTTTTATTTAAATCTTTGCATCCCTAGCACCTAGTACAGTGTTTGACACACAGTAGGCACTTCACAAATGCTGGTTGATAAAATGATCACCACAAGTATTAGAATACAAAAATGGCATCTAGGAGCTGTCAGTGGTCCTGAACAGCACTACTGTTATGAGCCGCTCCTGAAATGCAGCAACTGGGCTAATGTATAAGAGCCACAGCACTGTGCTCCCCAAGGAATACGTGTTGAGCTTGTAAACAAATTGCCTTTACCAGGCATCTTTCTGATTATCTTGACTAGCTGCTCCTGAGCTTAACTTAGAAATTTCATAAAAGCAGGACTTTCAAAAAAGCTCTAATGACAGAACCACCTTCTTGGAGTGTCCTGTCTTTGTACTTTATAGAAGCCAGTCTTGACTGAGAACATTTTGCTCCCAGGCAGAGTCCTGGGCACTGGTTCTGGGGAGGCATAATTTTGTCTCATATCCCTGGGAAAGCAGGATTCTTCTGCAGAGATTTGCTCATCTGTGTGTATAGATGTGGAGCTGGAAAGACTGAGAAGCTAGCCTTTAGCTGGTCAGGGTGCCAGGACTCAAACACCAGTGATAAGAACTGATCTCAGGCCTCATGATTCTGAGGCCCTAAATCTCTTAATTGCTATGCAGAGCAATCAGGGAGAAATGAAACTAGTTGAAGTGACTAGATGACTCCTATAAGGGAGCTTGTATAGAAGATTTCCACACTGGTAGGAAAATTGGACCAGTCCCTTGCACACCATCTTCCCAGGTTCTGTATAGCTCTGGAAAGCCTCTTTGTAAAAGATCCCAGGGATGTGTACGTATATGTATGTGACAGGAGAAGTAAGGCTGTTTTCAGTCCCACAGGAGATGAGAGAAAGAATAAAGTCTCCCAAGGAAGTCCCTGATGGTAGAAGCTCAGCAGGGGAATAGGTAGCCTCTCCAAGGCATCTGAGAAAGAGGAACCAGGGCCTAGTACCTCAGAGTACTCCAGGAGGCTTAGTTTGTCTGAGACTACCCACCTCAGGCTCCAGGGGTTTCCAGCTGTTGGCCTTAAGCTGCTGCAGCTCCAAAAATTTGAGGCTCACATCCTCGATGGCAAGTTGCAGGAGGTCCCAGAAGCCAGCCAGGTCCTGGGAGGTGGGCACAGGAAATGAGGCTGGGTCCTGCAAAGGTAAGAGAAGAGAGGGATGTCCCAGGCCCAGGCATAGGGCAAGGTTGAAGAAACTTTCCTCAACTCCCATCCATTAGGAAAGCAAGACAAATTCAAGGGGAATCCAACCAATCATTCTGCAAGCTGGCCCAGCTAGCCTGAGGGTGGTCAGAGGGGAAGCTACTCTAGCTTTGACAAGAACTCCACTTCTGGCCCCAGAGGCTCTTACATCACCATGGGCCCCCTCTCCAAACCCCAAATCCATAGAGAGAGCTCAAACATTTCTTTTGGCAAGACACTAGTCTCTTGTAATAGAGATAGCAGGTTCTGGCCCTAGAGGAGAAGGAGGGCACTCACCATGCTTTGCTGGCACAGCCGGAAAAACTGCTGCACCTTCTGTGACATAAGAAGCTGGGCACTGCCTACTGCGCTCCGGATCTTCTCTAGGACTGAGAAGAACAAAAAAAGTCACAATTTTTTTTTTGAAAAAGATACCTTTAGCTCTAGCCTCAGGCATCCTCTCTCATCTATGATATTCACCATCTCCAGAAGATCAAGCTTAATTAACTATAATATCTGCTGTTTGTCCCTATTGCCTTGTCAGTCGCTGTTCACCACAAACCCTTGATTCCCCACATGCACCCATTTTTTCAGTTAAAGAACCTTGTCTAGCTCATTAAGAAGATCAAGACCATTGGGATGAGCTCTACTGTCTACCCTGATCTTCATTTTTACCTCTCTGCCTCTGCCTACCTTCTCCTTTCTCCCTTCTAGTCTCAGAAGATGAGATGGTTTTCCTCTTTGCTAGGGCTAACCCTCTGCCTGCAGTTCTGGTCCTATCCCCTGCCACCTTCTATAAGACCTTTATCCAGTCGTCATCTCCTGTCTCCTGCACTCCCAATCTCTCCCTTTTTATTGGCTCCTTCTCTTAGTCTACAAACATTCACATATTCTGCTTATCTTAGATAAGGGGGGGAAAGATCACTTATCTCAGCTGCTATTATACAGTTCTTCTTCCATTTATGACCACACTTTTAAAAGTAGTATTCTAATCCCCCCATATCCCAATCCCTGCTTCCACATCTTCAACACCAATCCCTCTTCAACTCCCTAAATCTGACTTCCATAGCCGCCTTTCTCTCTGAAGTCACTAATGACCTTGTAATCACCAAAAGCGATGGCCTTGTTTAGTTCGCATCCTCTTTGACCTCTCTGCTCATCTGACACTATGGAACACTCTCTCCTAAATGCACATTCTTCCCTTGGTTTTGGGGACACTGATCTTTCCTGTTCCTCCTTTCCCTTCTTTAACCATGGTTTTTCTGTTGCTTTCATTGGATTCTCTTTTCCTTCTTGATCTCCCTGACTTCCTTTGAGACTCAGTTCAAGTCTCATTTTCTGCAGGAAGCTTTTACTGATCCCTCAGATGGTAGTGCCTGCCCCTCTCAGATTACCTTCCATCTACTCTGTGTATATGTTATTTCTAAACTACATATTTAGATGCTGCCTTCCCCACTGAAATGAAAGCTCCTTGAGGATAGCGATAATTTTTGCCTTTCTTTACATGCTCGGTGCTTAGCACTGTGCCTGGCACAGAGTAAGTGCTTAACAAATGCTTTTTAACTGAATGACTCCTCCCATCCCCTAAATGGTATCATTCCTCACAATTCAGTCCTCAGTCACAATCTATTTATCTCTCAGAGAGAAAGTAGAACTCCCTCAAAGAGAAGGAACACTTTCTGTACCTGCATCCATAGTGGCAGAAAAGATTTTGGAGAAAAGTCCTGGACTAGAAGTCAGAAGACACGAGATTCTAGTCCCAGCCCTGCCACTAACTTAATGTGTGATTTCATATTAAGTCCTTTCCTCTCTCTGGGCCTCAGCTTTCTCTTCAGTAAAATGAGGAGGTAGGAGTAGATGATCTCTAAGGACCTGCCCATCTCTAACATGGTATGATTTTTAAAAACCATTTCATGTGTGAAAATCTTGTCTCCTAAATTGTAAGAGCCTTGAAGGCAGAGACCATATGGTCTTCCTATGTATCCACATGGGAACTTGCAGAGGACCAGGCAGGGGGAATTATATAAACTTTGGGAATCCTCTGTTTTATGCTTAGCTTGACTCGGTGAGGGTGGTTGCATCATTTCATGTGCCTATGATCTGTATCTCCCCTAAAATAGAGAAGGGAGGTCTTAAGAACAGGAGCCTGTAAAGAAAAGAGCTTCTTCGGGAATCAAATAGGTGTTAGGCTGATTTATCCTTTCTCAGTGATGGAAAACACTAGTAAGATTTTGAACAAGGTCTCCTTTCTCCCCTCCTTTTTCTCAAAGAGAGACTGGAATCAGGTAGCAAGTGATTCTATTGGAACATTTGGAATCAACACTCAAAGCTTGCCATAAGCCAGAAAGCTTCCTGGATGGCTAAGAGTAGTGCTGGGATTATGGAGCTGGCAAATGAGTTTGGTCCAAAATAACTGGCTAAAGTCTAGTGTTCAATAAACCACAAAACCCAAACTACTGGAAGAAGGACTTATGATTCATAAGAACACAGGTCTAGGGCTGGAAAGGACCTCAAAGGTCATCTAGTCCAACTCCTTCATCTTACAGAGGAAGAAATTGAAGCCCAGAGAGATTAAGTGACTTGCCCAAGGTCACACATGTAACAAAGCATCACAGCTGGGATTTGAATCCAGGTCCTCTCACTCCAGGGCCAATTCTTTAAGAATTGATGGGAGAACTGGAAAAATAGTTTAGCATAAATTACATTTAGACAGTATTTTACCCATATACTATAATGATCTCCAGATGGATATACAAATAGACAAAGTGACATCATTAAAAAAAATTAGAGAATAGGAGGAGGTAATTTTTAGATCTGTGGTTAGGGCAAGGGTTCATAACCTAGCAAAGGCTAAAGATTATCATAAAAGATAAAATAGATGATTTTGATTGCATAAAATTTTAAAGATTATATATAAGCAAAATCAATGCAGCTAGGATAAGAAGAGAAACTGTCAACAAGGAAAAATGCTTGCATGGAATATCTCTGATAACAGTCTGATATTCAAGATACCTAGGGAATTTAAACAAATATATGACTAGACTGACTAGACTGGTCATCAATCAATCAATAAACATCTATTAAGCACCTACTATGTGTCATATTAAGTGCTAAGCTCTAGTCATGTCAAATCACTAGGAATATCCCATGGAAATAAAGGGTATTTTCATTTGAGTCCATATTGAAGGAAACACATAGACCTGAGCTCCAAGTCTTGGGAAATCCAGCAGGGTAATTTGGCAGAAGGACTGTAGCTAAATGAAGTGGGAGCTACTGAGTCATAGTTAGGTAGAGTCTTTTATGTGTATTTCTGATTACTTTACTTTTCTGAATTCATGTTCTCTTTTCTCTTTTTTAAATAAGCCCTTAAAAAGTGCACATTTGGTCTGGACTATGTGGTAGCCAGGAGGAAAGAGGAGGGGTGGAGGAGAAGGACCCTTGAACCAGGGCACCAGAAGGAAGATGGTAGTGACAGAAAAGGGGGGAATGTCATCAGAGGCTAGGTATAACAGGAACTCAGCGATCAACAAGATCAGGGCCTTAGTGCCTCTCTTACCACATGAAGGAAATCAGAGTAGTTGAGTCGTGAGGGTGGGAGGGCAGCAGTCATGGCCAGACTGCATCACCCTCTCTCTCATGCTAATATTGCCAATGCCACAAATGAAGCAGGAAAAAGTAAAACTTCTGAGTGGATGTTATCAGATGGACTATTTCAGAGGTAATTATTTCCACAATAAGGGACAAGAGGAAGAAAGAGCTAGGTAATAACTCTGTGGCAAAACAATGTGGCTCTAGGACTTCCAATAAGTCTCTTGTCCTTTGTATGGTATGTGTACCTAAGGAAGTCGTGTGTGTCAGACTGTGATGTGAATTGCCTGAGATTTTTTGGGGCACAGAGAGTATGGAAAGGTTTGGCAATGATGACTGTATCACAAAGACACTGAAAGCCACATGCGGGTTATACCTTCTAAGCCCTTCCTCTCTTCTCGAGTGGAGCTATCTCCGAGACAGTGGGACTGGAACAGCCAGAAATCGAAGGATCCTAGTACCCTCAAACCAGGTTTAGACATCTTAAAAGGCTTAGCTTACTGAACAGTAAACTTGTCAAGGGCAAAGGATGTGATTTGCTTCCTCATTGTTATCATCTCCCATGCCAAGCACTGCTCCTACGCTTAATAAATGTTTGTGGAATTCAGCGGAGTTTGTTGAATTGGAAGGATGGTAGCATAAAGGAATTTGTGAGCAGAAGGCACAGGCCCTCTGGGTCAGGTCACAGATGTGATTTTCTCAAAGGTGAAGCCTCCGCTGGGCTATAGCCCTGGACAATTCTTTACTCCCCACCTCAAATCAAGGGCTCCCAAAAGGTGTGGCTTTTTTAAATAGCCAAAGGAATACAAAATGATGTTACTGTGAGACAGACATAGGACGAAGAAAAACTTTGTTGTCAGAGATGGAGTGATCCTCCCCAAACCCAACTAATGCAACTGTGGTTAATCCATGCAGCCATATGTCCTCCTTCAAAGGTTAACCAAAAGTTGGCTATGATATCATTAAAATAACAATAGTTAGCATTCATATAATGCTGTACAAATATTATCTCATTTGATCCTCACAACACCCCTGGGAGGCAGGTCCTATTGTTATTCCTATTTTACAGATGAGGAAACTGAGGCAGAAAGGGTTGGTTAGAGGTTACACAGTTATTCAGTGTCTGAGGTTGAATTTGAACTCAGGTCTTCCTGACTCTAAGTCCATCACTCCATCCAGCGAGCCACCTTGCTGCCTAGTGAGATGTAAATGAGAACCCCACCCCCCACCCCATAGCAGGCAGCCTACTTACTGAGGCATCCCCTCAGCCTACTTACTCTCCTCGGGCAGGTCGTAGTCTTCTGCCTCCCTCTCCATCTGCTGGCACCAGTGCTCCATCTTTTCCACCTCTGCCTGCAACATCTTGATGAACCACTCACCATCCCTGGGGCAGGGGGAGGCCCGGCCAGAGTCAGGGAGGCTGCGGGAGCCACGCTCCATCCACGAGTCTCGGCGACCATGAGTCGGGGCCGGAGTCGGGGCAGGGGCTGGGCCAGAGCCAGGAGGCCCATCTGGGGCAGGTGGCTCATAGGACAATGGATAGCCCTCACGGTAAGCCCACTGGCCCTGCGTGTGGACGGTACGGAAGACAGAGTAGGCAGGACCTCGAGGCCCCGGCTGGGGTTCAGAAGCATGCCGCTGGAAGGAGCGGCCGAACTGCAGAGCCTTGTCCTCTGTGGCTACAGTTGCCAAGCCAGCCAGGCCTTCCAGCTCCAGGTCTGCCTGTACTCCGGCAGTCACGCTGTTGGAACGCTTGAACCGGGCTCGCCTGGCCAGGGAGATGCATGTCAGTCACCTCTCAGCCCTCTGTCAGCTG